AAACCTTTCTTTTTTCTAAGACACACTCCCCCCAAACACTTTCCCCAAACACTTCCCCCAAACACTTTCCCCAAACACTTCTACCAAACACTTCCCCAAACACTTCTACCGAACACTTCCCCCAAATACTTCCCCAAACACTTCCCCAAACACTTCCCCAAACACTTCCCCCAAACACTTTCCCAAACACTTCCCCAAACACTCCCTCCAAACCCTTCCCAAACACTTCCCCAAACACTTCCCCCAAACACTTCCTTCAAGCACTTTCCCCAAACCCTTCCCCAAACCCTTCCCCAAACACTTCCCCCAAACACTTCCTTCAAGCACTTTCCCCAAACCCTTCCCCAAACCCTTCCCCAAACCCTTCCCCAAACACTTCCCCAAACACTTTCTTCAAGCACTTTCCCCAAACGCTTCCCGAAAAACTTTCTCTACTCCAAACACTTCTCATATCTTAATCTCAACATCTTCTCTCACACAATATCTCCAACTTAAACATTTGAATACATTACACATCATCTAACTTCTAATTTCAAACAGACCCCTACGATTAAAAAAAAAACACTTCTGTATGTCTACAAAAAAAAAAAGCCCTCACCTGTTATTCTAGAACACTCACCTGCAAAAGGAGGTCCCAGAAAGTTAGCCACACCTTGCGTCAACATGAGAATGCCATACGACCTGGCCAGCTTGCTCTGTCCCAGTTTTCTGACCAGCAGGACACTGGTCAGTGGGAAACTGACACTGACGAAGAACCCAAAACAGGCGTAGCAGACCAACATCACGCTGTAGCTGCTGGAAATTGGGACGGCAGCCACGAAAATCCCGGAAATGGCTGATACAATGGCGTAAATATTCAGCAAGTTCACTGGCAAGTCACCGATGTAGCCGAATATTATCTGGCCAAGTGTGTTGAAAACACCGATAATCGAAACGAGGTACGCTGCTCGGGTTCTGTCCACTCCTAGCTCTATGGCGTGGTCCGCGGCGTACATGTAAGGGACATCACTCCACACGTAGAATAAAAAATTTGAAAGTAGAAATACAGGTAGGAAGGGGTTACACAGCAGTCTGAAATCTAGGATGTTGAGTAGTACATCGAACACCTTGAAGCAACGTCTTCGAGCAGAATGTACAACAGGTGTTTTTTTAGAACTGGGCTTGGGGTAGAACGTTGTCAGCTCAGGACAACTAGAGCTCTTCTTACAGTTCAGACACACCTCGCTATGTTTACACAGCGTTCGGAAGACGACGTCGCTTTTGGTTAGAGGAATGTGTATGGGCTCATACTTGGTGGCCGGTCTCATCCGATTTTTCATCTGCACGGCCGTACGCTCGTTACACGACGTCAACACACGTCTGGGGAACACGTAGCAGCTACAAAACGGCTGCTTGTTCGCTAACGTGTTTACTTTCTGCGGAAACGACGGTTCTGTTGTTTCTTTCACGCGCATATCATATTCTAAATCATCAACTGGGGAACCTTTCTCTTTAATGTACATCTGAATAGCCAGGTTATTGTGCATGTACCGGCGTATAATCGCTCGAGAATGTTTGTTCGTTTTAATACCTCGCCCTACAACATGGAGATACATGTGTGGGTCGTTGAAAAACGTAGGCAGGTCTACAGCCGACATGCATTTCCTGTCTCCGCCAAACTCCTGCTGTGAAGGACGAGGCCCGTCATGACTACGTCGACCGGGCGGGATTTTATCAAACTCCGACAACATCAGTTTTTTTCGTTGTTGTTCGGTGAATTTAAGCGGCCGGAAGAGCATACCGCAGACGACAAGGTTGAGTGTCACCCCGGCCATGATGAGGAACAACCCCTTGAGGTCGTACTCCTGTATCAGATAATCCATCAACGGCGCGAACGTTACCGTGCCGACTCCGGTACCGCAGACAGCGAAACCTGTCGCCAGTGCCAGACGTTTGTCGAAGTAGAACGACACGACAACCACACCGGAAACGAAACACAGGGAAAATCCAGCGCCAACCACACAGCTAAACGTAAAGTACAAGTGATCTATTTTTGTAGCGAAGATGCTTAGAATTAGCCCTAAACTGGATATTAATCCGCCGGTGATGGTCATAGCCCGACATCCATAGCGGGTGATGAGGTCACTGGCTACTGGACCCAGTAGCATGGACACGCCGAAGAAAATACTCCCGACCATGGAGGTCCGGCTTTTGGTGTCCTTGTAGTGAACGATGAGCTCCGAGTAGAGGACGCCGAAACAGTAGGAGACTCCGTCACAGATGACGCTGACCAAGAAGGCCCCGAGCACCACGAACCAGCCCCACCCCCCGTCCGGGGCGGCGGGGAGGGGGAGCTGTGTGGTGGAGATGGCGTCACTGTTCTCATCACTGTCGTTTGGTTCTTTAGTGTCTTCAGACTCCAGAGGTGTGTAGGGGCGTTCTGTTGTACCTGCTGTAACCATCGCCACCTTAAGCACAGCTTACATCGCCACACCTAGAGAAGCAATTGTTAAATACTTGCTTACATCGCCACCTTAAGCACAGCTTACATCGCCACACCTAGAGAAGCAATTGTTAAATACTTGCTTACATCGCCACCTTAAGCACAGGTTACACGCTTGCTTACATCTCCAACTCGAGAAACACTTGCTTACACCGCCACCTCGACGGAAGCACAGTTCAGACTCTTTTGCTTACATTGCCACCTTAAGCAGAGGCTACACAGTTGATTACATCGCCACCTAGAAAGAACCACATGTTACTCAACATAACTATGTATTTGCTAGTAAATGCGCCGGTAGCATTAACCTAATTCGGGCTCTAGCCCTAAATCTTACGCTAGTCGTAATCATAACCTTAGTATTAATTAACCTAATTCTATCTCTAATCCTAGACTTAACCTTATACCTAGCCCTTACCCAATGGTATTGACAAAACAAACTTCTGGATTCTAATGAGGTTCCTGCAGAAATCTTAAAGTCATGCAAGTTGCTTAAAATATTTAGTACAGTACATGAAAATACATACATTTAACTCATATAGATAATGATTATAAACAAACTAAATATAGATAAATTATTCATGTTTAATTCTGAAGTCATTGTTTTTTAGTACATATTGAATACAACTAGAATAGCTTTAGGCTTTAGGTAAGATTAAAATTAGATACTCTAACTTACACCAGTCTAGCTCTAGACTATCTAGACCAGGGGTCTCCAAACTACGGCCCGCGGGCCGGATGCGGCCCGCGAGGTCCTCTCATCCGGCCCTCGGAGAACTTTTAGTCCACGGAAAAAAATGTTTGTTGTAGGTGGCTGAGTAAAAATGCCACCCCAATGATATATCTGGAAGAAACTCTGGCCCCCGAACTTATATTTGATAGTTAATGCGGCCCTCGGGCTGAAAAGTTTGGAGACCCCTGATCTAGACTATAATAAAGATCGAAATCTAAACTGCAATTAAATTATTAGGATTTGATTTCAATGTAGCTTGGCCTAATTTAAATTAGTTCGATTTAGTTATGATTCTTACATTACGATTATTTAAATTATTTAAAACTGACTTTTGTCCTGACTCTTAAGATAAAGATGTGATAATTGGCTTAATTATATGATCAAATTAGGAATTTAATTTACCCGTGATGTTGCTAAAGTAAACATATTTGTGTTGGTGTTCCGCATTCTTGAACGGTTCACAATTTTAAATTGCACGCTGCTTTCGTGTGCGCAACAGTAGTGAACGTAGTTCTAGTCCTATAAATTTCAAGTCTTTGAAATTTAGCAATATCTCCCAGTCATTACACCACTACCCTGATATGATACTACACCCAGTGGCGTACCGAGGTCGGGTGTCACCCGGTGCGGCACTTAATGGTGTCACCCCCCCCCCCCTCCCCAGAGGCGTTAAGACCCTTCCCGGAGACAAACTTTCAAATTTTCGATTTGCACCCCCCCTCAAGTTTTAATATTTAACTATTTTTTGCCTTGGTGTCACCCCCCCCCTAAATGGTGTCACCCGGTGCGCTCCGCGCCCCCCCCCCCTCGCTACGCCTCTGACTACACCCCTACTTTCCATTCACCCCCCCCCCCCTTTCAGACTACTTGCCTCTTCCAGATTAACAGTTAATTAAAGTCTGCTTGTTATAGCATTCGGCAGATTGTTTTTTAAAAAGCCGAAGGAAGTAAATGATATTGTAAACTCCTGGTGAAAGTTATGCTGTGTCCTTCAAAACATCAAAACATCAAATAAGTCATTGTAAGCTCTTCATGATGATAAATACAATTAGGTGATACAATGTATTGAAACCTGGATCATTTAATTCTTGTTCAGGTTTGATAAAACAAAATTAAGAAAAAGCTTTTTTTAGGCTCTATGAACTGTAGTGTCTGGTGAATAGAGTATGCTGAAGCTAACGTGAACATCTGAAGTTCGAATCCCGGTGGCTCCACAAGAAAGATTTTAGTGAGGGTTTGGCGAGATGAACGCTACAGATATTCGCTGTACAATGGGATTTAGAATTTAGTGAGGATTAACGTTAAAGCTAAGAACAACCCGGTTCAATGTGCAACCACCTCGTGCAACCCTTGGAAATATCTGGTTTTAAGCGAGACAACAATCTAGGGGAAGCAACGCAGATTAGTCGTTTCCTATAAGATTAAACCATATTACTCTCCCCTTACATTTTTTCTATTTGGACATTTAAACATAGTGCAGGAAAAACAACGATAAATAAATGATTAAATTTTATTTAAAAAAAAATTAATTACACATTGAAGATGGTGAGAAAAAGAAATGTTTTCAAAGTGAGCAAGATAAAACAATTTGGCCCACTGTTTAACGAGTGTTTGCTGGTTGACCTATTTTGTTGACCTACTTGATTGACCTTCTTTAGGTGCATAATATTAGTAATATCCAATAATCGGGTTTAGGTGCTGGGCTCCGATTGTGACTAATAGCACTTACTTAAAGTATCAAAGAGTGAGCATAAATTTACATAGGTTGCCAGGTGTTGGGGCCTTTACAACACCCACACGTTGGCCTACTAGTGACAGATGGATGAAGATGAGGGCAGTACTAGCCACTAGGTATACTCTCAATTACATAAAATTGTACATCCTCTCTTTTGACTAATCGGAGATGAGAAGGAGATATATACAAGATAATTGTTGAAAGACGTTCGTTTCTCAATTATCATATTTATAGGCGCTTTTATACATTTATGTATGTATGTGTTGGTGTAAGTGTAAAATTGCACGCACATGAGCATGCGTGTGCGTCCGTGTGTGTGTGCGTGTACGTGTGTGTATGTGTGTATGTGCTTGTATGTGTGTAGTATTTCAAACTTTCAAAGGGTGGATATGAGAGGTAAAGAAGCACCTCTTGCATTGTTGTGTGCCCTAAATTCAGCAAAAAAAATGTAATGATCCTTAACGAGAGCTTCTGCTTTAGCAAATGTATTCAAATTTACCCCTTTATATGAATTGAAATTAAATAATGATTTCCCACATTTTGAACACGTGTGTTCATGTGCTGACTGCCCTAAAGAGATCTTCACTCTACCATAAGTGTGATCATATGCCACACCCACTATTACCTTCACTCGACCATAAGTGTGATCATATGCCACACCCACTATTACCTTCACTCGACCATAAGTGTGATCATATGCCACACCCACTATTACCTTCACTCGACCATAAGTGTGATCATATGCCACACCCACTATTACCTCCATAAGTGTGATCATATGCCACACCCACTATTACCTCCATAAGTGTGATCATATGCCACACCCACTATTACATTCACTCGACCATAAGTGTGATCATATGCCACACCCACTATTACATTCACTCGACCATAAGTGTGATCATATGCCACACCCACTATTACCTTCACTCGACCATAAGTGTGATCATATGCCACACCCACTATTACATTCACTCGACCATAAGTGTGATCATATGCCACACCCACTATTACCTCCATAAGTGTGATCATATGCCACACCCACTATTACCTCCATAAGTGTGATCATATGCCACACCCACTATTACCTTCACTCGACCATAAGTGTGATCATATGCCACACCCACTATTACCTTCACTCGACCATAAGTGTGATCATATGCCACACCCACTATTACCTCCATAAGTGTGATCATATGCCACACCCACTATTACCTCCATAAGTGTGATCATATGCCACACCCACTATTACCTCCATAAGTGTGATCATATGCCACACCCACTATTACCTCCATAAGTGTGATCATATGCCACACCCACTATTACCTCCATAAGTGTGATCATATGCCACACCCACTCCTACCTTCACTCGACCATAAGTGTGATCATATGCCACACCCACTATTACCTTCACTCGACCATAAGTGTGATCATATGCCACACCCACTATTACCTCCATAAGTGTGATCATATGCCACACCCACTATTACCTCCATAAGTGTGATCATATGCCACACCCACTATTACCTTCACTCGACCATAAGAGTGATCATATGCCACACCCACTATTATCTCCATAAGTGTGATCTTATGCCACACCCACTATTACCTTAACTCGACCATAAGAGTGATCATATGCCACACCCACTATTATCTCCATAAGAGTGATCATATGTCACAAAATGTATTTGAGTTGAATAGTGTTGAGTAGCGAATATGTAGACATGCATTTTATTTTTCCCATAACTGAATTAGTGATTAGGCCAGCTGTTGGTGTCTTGTGGGCGACGACATTGTCCACCATGGGCTGATCTACTGCCACTACAGTTGGGAGCAGCTGGGCTGAATTGCTGCAAAACTACACTGTCAACAAATGTTTACAGTAAAGACTAATCTTGTAACAGTGTCAACAAGTATTTACAGTAAAGACTAATCTTCACACTGTCAACAAGTAGTTACAGTAAAGACTAATTTTGTAACACTGTCAACAAATATTTACAGTAAAGACTAATCTTCACACTGTCAACAAGTAGTTACGGTAAAATTTAATCTTGTAACACTGTCAAAAATATTTACAGCAAAGTTTAATCTTGTAGCACTGTCAACAAATATTTACAGTAAGGACTAATCTTGTAAAAAAAAGTAACCAAATATTTACAGTAAGACTAATCTTGTAACAGTGCGAACAAATATTTACAGTAAAATTTAATCTTGTAACGCTGTCAACAAATATTTACTGAAAGACTAATCTTGTAACAGTGTTAGCATTTTGTTCAGGGTAAAATTAATTTCGTAATATGTCGGTTAATGTGTTGTTCAGTGGCGGCTCAACCTTACGGTCGGAAGAGGGGGGGGGGGGGAGGGAGGGGGGTGTCTTAAGTTGTCTTATGTAATATATGTATCATTAAATATGTACATGTGCATGCACATAATACCCATATACAAACACACACACACACACGTTTGTTTGTATGCGTGTGCGTACCTGTTTTTCATATAATTTTTTTTTATGCATGCAATTTCCAAAAGGAGAGGGGTGGCTAATCGCCCCGT